GCCCCTGAGCCTCTGGCCTGTACCCCAGTTCTGTATGAATAAATAAATAAATCTTTAAAAAAAAGAAAGCCAGAGGGTGACAACGGGAAGAAAAGAAGGGAATTCAAGTTTAATCTAAGAGTTGGAGTAGATAACAAACAAGATTCTTCCCAACTGATTCTCCCAGAGAAAATATACTAAGAAGGAAAATGTAAAACACACAAATCATTAAAAGAAGTAATTAGCTATAAAAATCCATAAGAGGGCCCTCCCTGTTGGTCACGGCGCTGTGAAGCTATCCTGCAGCTACTGCAGCATAAGTTAGATCTCCAGCCAGGGGGATGACCCACACAGTGTGGCAGACTTCCCGACTGGCCTGCTGCTCCCCTTAGCAGTGTCTTTCAGTACATCTGTCCATTTCTGCTCCTCACTATGTCTCTGATGAATCCTCTCACTCCCTGCATCTCTGGCCTGTTTCCCAGTTCTTGCAGGCATAAATAAATAAGTCTTAAAAAAAAAAAGAAAAATCCTAAAAATGGTAAGGTGCAAGTAAATGTGATAATTTGGGTCTCCATACCAAGCGGGTTAGAAAAACAACTGTGTCCTCTACAAAGAACTTTTTTGACAAGAGAGTAGAGTCTAGGGGCCTCCCGGGTGGTCTAAGAGTTAAGTTTCAGCGCTACCACCCCTTACGGTTTGAGTTCAATCCCCAGCCAAGAAGCTGACCCACCACATGGTGCAATAGACCTTTCCTATCTCACCCACTGCTCCCCTAAGCAGTGTATTTCAGTAGATCTGCCTGTTCTGCTCCCCACTGTCTCTGGTGAATCTTCTCATCCTGCAGCACCTCTGGCCTATACCTCAGTTCTATGCAGATAACTATAGTCTAGTCTGGGTGTCTAAGTTAGTGGGATGAAAAGATCTCAGTGGAACTCAGACATTGGATGAACAAACATGTATAACAAAGGCTAAATTCACTGTGTAGACCTTGAAGGTAATTAAAATGATGGCAAAGGGGGGAACAGGTGGTAAATCCAGACAAAGGGAACAATATGGTAAAGTTAGATTTGGGCTTTTAGCGCTGAACTTCATGTGGTGTACACTCCTGTGATTCTCAACGATGAACTTATAATGCAAAATTACTTCAATTGAACAACAACAAAAAAAGAAACCCACAAAGAAAAAAGTTATGAGTATGCTTGGAACTATTACATCTGAAGAGACTCCCAATTCCCTAAGAGAATCTGGCCCTCACAACAGCAACCCCCCCCATATTCACTGCCCTCCCACCCAAACACAGATCTAGATGCTCTAACAGCAGTGAAGATCTTCAGTTTAATCTAAACAAAAGTTATTCAGGCACTCTAGTAATTAAATTATATCCCATGAGTTTCTGTTACCAAGGTAGGTTTGAATTTTTCATTACATATTTACTAACACAGAATAGGTGACCGAACTGTGCCTCCACACGCATGTCTACACTACAGTGAGTACTAGACAGCACTTCAAGGGCAAACCCGGACAGTGCTTATGTCTGTCTGAAGAGCTGGGGTTGCTTTTGTATCTTAACATGTAACAAGACCAAAAAGCTGTACCTTTGCTGCAGTCACTGATCGCCAGCTCTTTCTTGTCCTGAAAGAAAAAAATACAACATTAACATGTACAGAACATTAATCTGTTCTACTGTAAAGGCGCAAAGTCTAATGACATAAGCTAAAACCTTACTTAATCCATCGATTAAACAAAAATACAAAACAATTCATCAAATAAAGTAAATTAATTTCATTTGCTGACTCTAGAAGCATGGTACAATTGGAAAATGTTAAAAGAACTAGACTCGAGTTCCAGGTTGGGCACTAACCTATTTAACTCTTCCAGCTCTAAAAATGTCTATGTTCTCTATATTAGTTTCTATAATATTACAGAAACTTTAATTTGAAGAACAAATTCAATTTTTTTTTAATACCCACTGCAACAAATACTAAATATTCTTCATAATGTTTTAGAGTAATGATTTACCAAACTGCATTTTGGGATTCAGCCAAAAAGAATGCTGGTGTGTAGAGTAGTTACAGCATTTCCTCTTAAAAGTGATGGCAAAGTTCGGGAACCAGATAAGGGTGGTGATGCTGTGAACATAATTTGATGCCACCTAATTTTAATTTTTTAAAGATTTATTTATTTATGCATACAAGACTGGGGGGTAACCAGAGGTGTGGGGGTGAGAGGATTCACCACAGAGTGGAGAACAGAATAGGCAGATGTACTGAAATACACTGCTGAGGGGAGCAGCGGGTGAGACAGATGATGTCCAGTGTGCCATGTGGGCCAGCCCCCTGGCAAGCTGGGAATCGAATTCATGCCACAGTGGCTGGTGATGGCTTGATAGCATTGTCCTTAAACCCTGTGCCAACAGGGAGGCCCCTGAATTGTATACTTTAAAATGGCTAAAATGATCAAGTTGGTGCCATGGGTATTTTACCCACAGCAAACAAATAAGGTTCCAGAGTCACCTGAAAAACACTTCTTTATCTCTGTCAATGTCCAGCACAGCAATTTGCACACTAAAAGCTCCAAGAATTCCTGTCATAAAGAAATCTGTGTGATTCTGTATTAAGTCAGTATTCCGTCAGCTGATCAGAATTCTGTAAATCTAAGACCCACAACTTTGTATTTTAAATTTTCTGAAATAGGATTAAGTCTTTTGCAACTTAAGTGTACCACTGTGTGGAGATTTTCTTCATCCCCGTGGTAGTTGTTGCTGAGGTGCAGTTCATCTTATTCTCAGCAAGTTACCTTTTTTTTTTTTTAAGATTTTAAAATTTCTATATATAGAACTGGGGTACAGGGCCAAAGTGCGTTGTGTGTGTATGTGTGTATGTGTGTGTGAGAGAGAATTCACCAGAGAAAGAGTGGGAAGCAGAACAGGCAGATCCACTGAAATACACTGCTGAGTGGAGCAGCAGGCACTGTGCCATGTGGATCACCTCCCTGGCCAGGGATCGAACTCATGCTGCAATGGCTGAAGATAGCCTCACAGTGCTCTGCTTTAATCCACTGTGCCACCAGGGAGGGCCCCAAGTGACCTCTTTAGATTAAAGAACTTAAGTATTATCAGGGAATCCTTTGTGTAAAGGAACTTACACTTTAGGGGACTCACGCCGTCTATACTTAGAGGGGCAGCCTCTATGAAGGTGGTGTGAAGAAGCCAAAACTCATTTACCATTCTTCAAAATTTGAATATATGTATAAACATATGTAAAATAGTGTACATAATATATATAAGCATTAAAAAAAAAAACCTTATTCTCAGGCTAAGCCTGAAACTCTATCTTCACTCCCGTTTGCCTTTTCTGGCTCCAGATGTGAAATGGAAAGCTTGGCCTGGGCATCCAGTCAGGAGTGCTGAGCCTGCAAACTTGCCTTTCAGAAATTCTTCTTAAAGTAGTTAACCTTCCCTTCTGTGAAAAACTCAGAATATGTTTCATAAGTCACGTCAGTGCATTAACTCTGAAAGTTTTCAGGTCTCTCATAAGAGAATTTTTCTTAGATTAAGAGTGCAATTTAAAACAGCAAAACAAAAACACCCATTAACAAACCCATCTTCTACACAGGGATTAGTCACCAAGCAACTCTTTTCCAAGCTCTCCTCAGATGTGCTGACAAAAGACAAGTTAGAGCACACATTTTCCTAACCCAGGAACTAGTTGATTATGTTGGTGCAATCCTAACCTGGTAGCAATAACTTGGAAATTTTTGTGGAAAGCAAGAACTCCAAATCCCAGGGTCCAATGAACTTGGTACATTTTCACTGACAGTGAAGGAATCCCTCATCCCATTGCACATTGAAAATTTCCAATCTGAACAGTGGCAAGATGTCTCTGAGAAGTCAATGTAAAAGATGAGAATTTTCCAGTGATATTTAAAAACTACTAGGCATGGAATCAAATGGATGGTAATGAATTAATATTGTTTTAAGTAAATTTAGAACAGATGTCTCATTTTCCTTAACAAAATGTGTTTGTATATGCTAGAATTATTTCTTTTCCTGTGTCATATGAATCATTAAAAATTCTTCATCTTGGATGTAAAAATAAACTGTTATAAAAAAAAATTAAAAAAAAATTCATCTTGGAGACTGAATCCAATAATAAAATACACAAGTTTGAGTTTTAAAAGTTTTCTGCATACCCAAGGATTCAAGCATGCCTGCTCCAACCCCCACCCTTAAAAGCAAACCAAAAAACAACAAACTCCAACCTGGTCATCCACAGTGACTGCTGGTAGAGGAACTGGGGAATTTCAGGCAATATCAAAGAAAAAGTGAGAGATGACTGATACAAACCACCAACCACCACTTTACCAAATCTTGAGTCTGCCTCATGTCTGTATACTGGTATGTGAAATACCTGTGCCTATTCCATACCTGTGCCTTGGCTAGGTTTTTTCAAAACTCTCATCATTTTAATACAGCAAAATTAACTATGTTGACTAAACAGGATTATCAGACAAATCAGCAACAAATCTAAATTCTAATAACCATATGGTATAAAATAAAGACTGCTCTCACAACTACTCCTCATTCACCTTGCTATGTCAGGTCTTAAAGCTATGGAAATACAAAATTCTTTAGCACTTTCCATATTTTGCTTTTAAGGGCCCCTCTCATCCCAGCTGTTACACATTTCTCACTGTGTCTGCACTTTCAACAGGAAAGCCAGAATCTTAGGGCTAAGGGTCTTTAAGCCCAGCATTTCCATCAGTGTTTCCCTGAGTCCTTATCTAGAATTCCAGCAGCCTAAAATAATCAGCAGTAGCTATTCTAGGACATGCACTACCTGGCCCTTCACTTCATTAACCCACCCTAATTTGGTAGAAACTGCCAGTCTTCTTTGAAAGTGTTTCTCAGCCATTTTAATGGGAAATGTTAACAGTAATCTGAATCTTATTTTTCAAAATCTCTTATCTTCCTGGGTCCTTTATATCAGAGAAATACATAGGCAAGACAGGGGAGGCAATTTTACACCCTTATGCTGGTTTTGGAGAGAAGCTACTTTATGAAAACACTGAAAGTTCACGGTTTTCTGAAAAACAAAAGGTAAACATACCTGTTTCATCCTTGCGGCAGCTCTATTTGAGAACAGAATAGACCTGTCTTTTTGGAAACAGGATGGGCACATCTGAAGGGCTTGACTGTAAGAACTCTCAGCTTCTATATAATCTGAGGATAAGGTAGAAGACCAAAGTTCATGAGTTTATTCCTCATACTACTATATTCCATAGGTTCTCAGGAAGTATACTTCCCATTCACAGGACAAAGGTTTCAAGAAGAATGCTCTAGATGTTCAGCTTTCATTTGACTTATCCATTATGAAAGGGTTTAGGGACTAGGGAACTGGACAGATGAAGGAAACTAAAATTAGGAATTCAGTTCATTCTTATAATCTGGTCTGGAATGAGGAAAAAAAAGTCTATGTAAAAGCAAGAGAGTAAAAAATAGTTGACTAAAGGCCTTCAAGAGAGAAAACGATGATAAATTGATACACTCACTGCTACATAAATTCAGGGTGCTAAGGAAAAAACCATCCATTCACTTCTTTCTCAGGTTGACATATATATATTTTCATACATTTTTTAAAGATTTATTTATTTATGCATACAGAGCTGGGGTACAGGCCAGAGGTGCAGGGCAGTGGGAGGATTCACCAGAGACAAAGTGGGAAGCAGAACAGGCTGACTGACGAAATACACTGCTGAGGGGAGCAGCAGGCAGGTTAGGAGAGGTCTGTCCCACCATGTGGTTCACCTCCAGGGTGGGGACTGAACTCATGCTGAAGTGGCTTTATTTCTTAGTGCTGTGCTTTAACCCTCTGTGCCACCAGGGAGTGCCCATGTTGACATATTTATACCAAAACACAAAGAGATGTATCTTCAAAATTAGTTATTTTACTTCTCTTGGAAAAAGTGATGTTAAATCACGATATAAGAACAAAAAATTTTAACCTCAAAGTAACTAGGGGAAAGACGGTACCTACCACTCCTGATTTCTAAAACATATAGTTTGAGTCTTGACAGAAGGTTATTTTAAGATCAAACGTACTCCTGAAATTATCGGTGTGAACTCAACCTATGCCTAAATAAATGCTGGAAACACAGAGGGACATGAAGAACACCCTTCTTCATATGTCATCCCCCAAAACAGCACACAAAAGAGCAGCAAAAATTACCAACAAAACCCCTCTCCAGGTCAGACTGAAATTGCTGTTCTGGGAGAATGCTGCTGTGGGGAACAGTGGGAGCTCTCCACAGCAATGCAACAAAAGGCCTTGATCAGTCAAGGCTGGAGTCTCCAAAGCAACTGCTGGGGCATTATTCCTCCTGATGTATAGACAGTGGATTACAGGGGCAAAAAAGAAAAAAGAAAAAAAAACCTAGCTTACGCCAGCATCAAAAGACAGGAGTATCTGGTCACTGTCATCTGAGAACCACTGGATCCTGGTCACAAACAACATTCCAAAGTATGGGGAGATAACACAAGCATCATTAGGAATTTATTATTTGCTTGCAAAAGTTATTTGGTGTTTCTTCACAGACTTAAGAATGAGCAGCTAAAGATGACCAGACATCAGTGTTAAAATAGCTCTTATCATCTTCCTTCCTTCCTTTTACTGAAGTAACAACAGCTGACAATACTGCGTATGATTTAGGGGAACAGATGTATGCCATCACGCTAAAGCACCCAGAGTCCGTTAGCCTAAATCCCTGGTTCCCTCTCCCTTGCTCCCATCCTCACTAGCAGCATCCATTATGCATTCCTATTTCTAACCTGTGTCTTGGTCTTACCTCCTTTCTTGAACTGTTCATTTCCTGCCTCCTTTAGTTTAGTGCTCTCCTCTCTTCTTTTCTGAAAAAGAGAGAATCACATCATTTCACACACTTTTGTTGTCAGTTTCCTTTATACATTAGTCTATTTAATAGACAGTGACTTAACTTTTGAGAACTGATTCCATCTTATCTAAATCTCAAAGAGATATAGAAAAACACGCTGATTTGTTTAATGGTCAACTAAACCCAGTCTTCTTGTTTCTCTTTTGCATCATTTAATTTCTCTTTACTAAAAATGGAACTAAACAACATACCCACTGGTATGCAGACCACTACAAATCTAAATCCAAATTCTGAATCTGTTACTTGTTAACTGCATGACTGTGGACAACTTCTAAATCTTTTTGAGCTACAGTTTCTTCAGTTAAAAAAATGAGGCTTTAATAGTTTTATGTATTAATGTGATAGCACACATGTAATCCAATGACTAGTAAATAAGGGGTCAAAAATATGAGCTATTATTTTTCTGCAAAACACATACTCTTAAGGCTAACTAGCTACAACTGTGTCTTGCATCAGGGAGGAGACACACAGTGCATGACGGGGACAGGCTGTGTATGCAGATCAGTGCAGCCCACTGCTAGCAGGTGAACAGGAAAATGTGAAGAAATCCAGCTACATAAATCTCTCTTTTCTTAGCTTATTCTGATACACACAGACTTACAGAAGGTAAAACCACCTGTCAAACTCAAAGGCAGAGTGAACACTACTCTGCAGAGCAAAGCTAGCTTGTGCAAGGCCTGTGCTTCTGAACAGCATACAAACAGTTTAGCAAGGTCTACCTGCCACTTTCTGACAGTACCTTAAAAATAACAGCAAACAACTTTTGTAAAATTAAAAAAAAAAAAAAAACAACAACAAACCCCACCAGAGTACCTTGAAATATCTCTTCCTTTATTCTTGGAGTTTAACTAAATAAAAAAAAAAACTTCAAAGGGAGGAAAAATATTAGTAAGGTATTCCATGTATATGAGAAACACACAGCCTTTACAGTTGGTACTCTTGAGATTACAAACCAAAGTAAAAATATACTGTCATTCACCTTCACCCCCATGTTTATTGCTGCTTTATTTATAATAGGAGAGACATGGAATCAACCCAAATGCCCAAAAGTAGATGACTGGATAAAAAAAGATGTGGTATATATACACACAATGGAATATTACTCAGCAATCAAGAAAGATATACATGCCTTTTGCAGCAACATGATGGGGCTGGAAAGGATCATGCTTAGTGAAATAAGGCAGAAAGAAAAAGAAAAATAAGGATGGTTTCACTCATAGCAGGAGCATAAAGGACCAGGGGGAAAAAATAATAATGAACAACTATATACCATAGACATTTTACAGGGGTGGAGTGGGGAATGGGATCAAAAATGAGGGGGGGGGGTTGTTGTGCATGGGACAATGGTGATGGCACATGGGTGAACTGGTGATGGTAAGTCCAAGGGGATTACAACTGAGATGGAAAAAGGAATAAAATGATGTAAAAATAAACTAAAACAAACAAACAAAAAAAACCAATTTCACCACTCTATTTTCTTTTGGAAATGAAGCTATAGGAATTGTCTGTTTTTTAAAAAAGATTATTTATGCATACAGAACTGGGGTACAGGCCAGAGGTACAGGGGTGCTGAGAGGACCCATCAGAGACAGAGTGGGGAGCAGAACAGGCTGACTGTCAAAGTACACTGCTGAGGGGAGCAGTGGGCATGTCCCAGGAGAGGTCTGCCACGCCATGTGGGTCATCTCTGAGGCTGGGATCAAACTCATGCTGAAGTGGCTTTAGCTTCCCAGTGCTGTGCTTCAACCTGCTGAGGGAGGGCCCTCATTTCTATTTTTACTAAAAAATTTTAATGCATTAAAAAATACTGTCTTCAGGGAAGATTTCAATATACACTGCTGTGGCCATGGTGCATTCTAAATGTCTTCTTATCGTGTTCTCAATGAAACAGAGCTGTGGCAAACAGACACAATCTCATTCCTATAGTATCTACTTGCACCAGAATGTACAGCAGCTACAAATAATAATCATTTTAAGATACAACATATCTGAAGAGTTAATCTAAAGAATACAGAAAAAATACAATCAATGTGATGGGATTCAAGATGGGAGAATGTGGCCTCAATACCCAGGAGGAAGATGCTGGACTAAAGTGCTCTCTATTGTAGATAAGACTTTTGCATGGATTATCTCAGACAAAATGCATTATCTCAGAAGAAAATTTTTAAGGGGACAGACTTACTGGAAAGATACTGGGGGCTTAAGGAATTACTGAGTGGCCTTACTAAAATACAGGATTCAAGGCAGAGCTGTCAGAAGTAAGAAAGCAGTCAATGTCCTTCATGGAATAGTCTGCCAGGACAGGGTTGCAAAGACTGCAAATGAATCCTAATTACCCTAATTTTCTTTGCCCTGATCCAGTCAAAGTATTGGTCAGTCATCCAACAAGCCACTGTAGGCCACATACCTTGGCTATCAGGGGATGGGATGAGGGAGAGGTGCACTGTTAACAAGACTGAGTGCTCAATGGGAGAATGACTCCAAACAGGAAGGGGGATTAGATGCTGGAAGCCAAAATGAGGCTGATTAAAATATAGTTACAAACAAATTTTAGAGGCAGTTAACTAATTACTAAAGCTTACTAGACCTCTTCTTTAACTCTAATTTCAAGCTAAAATTTGTTCTCCAGTGCCAACTTGTCAGGAATTTTCTATGAACACAGATGAATCACTCAGACTGCCAGATCAGGCTTGTGAACTGTTATGTGTATACACACATGTGTTAAGAGTTGAATCATTTTTTGGTAAATGATTCCAATGGGCAAAGCCCAGATCCAAGGTACACCCAGAAGGATTTACTCGTAAGGGCAGCATAAGCAGCCAGCTAGAGAAAAGCGGCACTCTGTGTCTAACTGGCGAAGGACTAACTGGCAAAGAAGGACCCTGGAACACTTTACTGAGGCCAATTATTCTAAGGAAGGCATCTTATTTTTTGGCTGATAAATCACAGTTTAGTGGTCCATTTAGCAGGAAAAGTGTGCCTGCCTCCACAGATTGTGTAGATTGAGGATTAATGCAATTATCAATATCATGCTGAACATCTCCTTGGAAACAGCTAAAAATAGCACTCTGCCAAGTATGCATTATCTCCCAGCTGTGCCAAAAGACGAACCTAATCGCACTGCAAGGACCAGGGTTTGTCTGACTGTCTCATACTTTCCCCACAGGATGGCACGCAGACTGTGTCATGTTTCAGGAATGCAAGAGCAGATGTGCAGTGGAGAAATCTCACTTAGCACACACAGTGCTGAGCCTTCACACGCAGTGAGCTGGCTGAGTGAGGTTTGGCACTATCATCAGGCACGCTTCTTTTCGGGTTCTGGTCTCAAGTGGTTTGGAGCCCTCGCCACACCCCACAGAGCCTTTTAACGCATTCCAGCAAGGCCTCACTTTTACTCTAAAACTCTATTCCTCTAAGAATGGAAACCATTCTAAGAAATTTTATAGGGCTCTTTACTCAGTACTCTTCCCATCACAGAAAACTTGGGGGGAAAGAGTGACACCATTTTACATTGGAAAATCACAGGAACTGTCAGCTAAGGAAAATCCCAGACAATGCCTGCAGTTTATTTATATGGTTATTACTGTGACTGCAAGATTTTCAGTCTAGTATTCAAAGTGCAATACAACTGACAGCAATATAGCATTTCACTATTTAATATCTGCTATCACATTCATTAGTTCATTTGCTTTTCAAGACAATTCTGAGATGGGCATGGAGGTATTTACTGCTCAGTTTATAGGTGAGACAATCTCAGAAATCTCTTCCTTATACTATATCAAAACTTCTATTTCAACCTATTCAATCTTATCTCCTTCAGTTACTACCAGAACAAGTCATTACTGTCTCTCAAAATCCACTGCACTTATTCTTCACTCTATTCTTTCGCTTATATCCCCACACTGGAGTGTCATTTCTCTTCCACATCTTCCTTGCACCTGCCCAAACCAAATATTCTCAACTTAGCTTTCCAAGTCTAGCAGAAATGATATCTACCCCCAGGCCATCTTTTATTTTCCCATATGATCCGCCTTTGAATATAGACTATATAATCTACTATCTTTAATTTGGGAATTCAATTATCACTCAGTTTTGTGTATGTTTGTGTTTGCGCGCATGTGTTTTAATATTGCAAAGACAGTAAAAGCATTACCAAAAGTTTGCAATGTTACTTCTGCAGTTTTGTGGGCTGTGAAACACTGTACAGCTGCATAGTACAGCCATCGGACCTAGGCAAGAGGTACTCCTTTGGCCCCCAATTTATCCCACAGGGCCCTTTTAGGTCAAGATCCAGGAGACTTTGCCCAAGTCTCCTAGCCCACTTCTAGGATTGCCTGGACCTTGGCCTAGGTCTGTCCTGTTTTTTTTTTTAATGGCTTCTTTAAAAAAGATTTATTTATGCATATAGGAGCTGGGGAATGGGCTGTGTGTGGGGGTGGGGGTGGGGTGGGGGATTCACCAGAGAGAGTGGGGAGCAGGAACAGGCAGATACACTGAAATATACTGCTGAGGGGAGCAGTGAGCATGACAGGAGAGGTCTGCTGTGCAATGTGGGTCAGCTCTCTGGCAAGGAATTGAATCCATGCTGCAGTGGCTGCCAATAGCTTCAATAGCTTCACAGTAGTGAGACTTAACCCCTTGTGCCACCAGGGAGGCCTGGGTCTGGTCTGTCTTCTAAGGGGGACTTTGCTACATGTGGACATTATGTTCCAGATGCAGTGTTTTGAATTTTGTCTGCCCCAGATTGCAATCAGTCATTTCTCCAAGGGGTTCTGAACCCTTTAGTGAAGAGTGTATTTAGCAACCAAATTCCAGTAGGTATCTATTCTACAGTGACACTGTTTTTAGGCCTTTCATTGAAGCAGCCCAGGAAACACATCTTAAAAACCTGACAGAAGCTTATAACAAGTAGGAAAAAACTTCAAGATACAACAAGGAAATCTTTGGGGGTACTGC